TGGTCTTTTCCACTATAAGAAAACTAACAACTCATAAAGGAACATATACCCCTTACCACAATGTTCCCACTATATAGATTTTGAAATGGTGACCTGCCGCTGCAAAATTATTGCTGCTGCTGCTGCTGCTTCACAATTTTAAATCAGATCATCAAGTTGCAATTATATGACTCTGCATATGGCTTTTAATTTGAAACTACAGATATAGAAGTGATACAGACACATAGCGATGCACACAGAAATCAGACAGAGAGAGAGAGAGAGAGAGAGAGGAAGTCAACTAGCAAGAGAGAGGACACTAGACTGTGAAGTAATCAGGTTTTGAATTGACAAAAACTTATACAAGTGATAGACTGTTTTTAAGTTTAAGAAAATCCAGTGAGAAACCTTCTTTTAAAAGTTCAATACACATGTCAGTGAATAACTGTGTAATAATTGTGATGTCAACATTGACCAAAATAATCATGAATATGACTTTTGCCATAATTGAGCAGCTCTAGCTCAGACACCCATTGTGAGGGCGGAAAAGTGACGTATTTGGCGCCAACTCTCAGGCCCTAATAATTCATTTCAACACTAAGTACACAAAGTACTCAGATTGAAAATCTGACTATGCCACAGCAACACTAAAATCTTGTGCTCTACCTTAAATAAACACTTTAAATTCACAAAATGACCTGTAATCTGCAGCATGTGTCAGTGCCACCATCTCTGTGGGCTGATTCACAGTGTACATGATGCCCTGAGGAGAGATTTATCTGAACTGCAACTCTCTACTTAATTAGACATGACTTTTGAGTGTGTGGCAGATGGCAGGAGTGGCCCCGTTGGTTCTGTGCCATGTTGGTAAAATACCAGGATATGATGCCATGAGCTCTGAATCACACACTTCACCATAACCATCCCTGTTATTTGACAGTAGAAGTGAGTCAGTGTTCTGCTCAGTGTTCTCACCACAGGATGTCTGCAAGTTCCATCACATCAAAAATGTTTTAACGTCAGTGTCAAACAAAGAAAGGCCTCATCTTGATCTGATCCTTCACCTGGAGCCTCTCAGGTGAAGTGTAGTCACTCACAACACCAAGGTGACCTTCACATCAGAGAGACAGGTCTGTTTGAATCTGTGATCAAACGCGCAGTCTTGAGACTAAAACATGCCGTCGTCTCTTAAAAAACACGACATCGAACCAGCCGTGCACAGAGCACATATCCAATGATCCTCTCCTATACAGTTTCTGTATTTTGACGCACTAAGTCATCATCTGTGGTTTGACAGATGTAACTATTTCCACTCAACAGAACATCCGTCATGCAAGAACCACTCTGAGAAATCAATCTTAACTGGAATGCAAAAGGGACTTAAGAGAATTTGTACTATTCATTGGTTTTGTTCATATTCAGGAATTTCGTCTGTCACACATCTGTGTTAGGAGCTGATTTTTTTTTTCAACTAGCTTATCACCACTGACTAATTACATTGGAGATATTATCGTTTACCAGTATTCATTTGGCATCACTCGGTTGTACAACAGTTTCTTGTTACTTATCGACCAGTGTACACACAGCTGCCAGTATATTTGTGAAAAGCTAAAACTGGCCAGTAAAACTAGTTCCGTACCACTGGAGCCTTTGCTGCTGTTTTGAGCAGAAAGATATGTGAAAAACGAGGCGGCTAACGATGAACATGTGAGCACAGTGAAACACAGACAGGCAGGCAGCAAAGGGCAGCCAGCTCAACCGACATCAAAGAGCACACAGCCAGTCAGATCCACCCCCATCCTGCCCCGTTACCCCCTCACATGGCCAACTTCCAGTTTTAACCTCTGCTCAGTCATCACCCAGTCACCAGCATTCATCCAGTCATTCTACAGACAGCCCTCAATAACTGACAGGTCAAAGCTGTTAAGTCTCTGCTATTTTTAAAGAATGAACCATCTTCTTTAGCACTATTATCTATTTTTGTTAATACTGAACCATGTTAGTATCCATGGAAAATGGACATTATTATTATACAGAATCTGCAGACTACACTAAGGTATGTTAAGTGCATTATATTATAGTGTATTATAGTCTACCTTTTGTCTTTTTTACAAGTCAAAAAAACCTGTATTTTAATGTTTATATGTCCTAAAATGTCTGTTCTGACTGGTGTATGTCCACAGTTGGTCAGTAACAGGGTGTTTTTACATTACTCTGATGAAGGGGGCAGTGTCAGCCCACTTCCTAGAAATCCCAATTTCAACCGTCTGCGGACAAACCAAATTTGTGACAACGCAAATCTGAAAGCCAGTCATGGCTCACTATGCAAATGCAGGGTCCGACAGCACCTGCTGAAACCTGATACCTCAAACCTCTGGTCTGGGATCAGCCAGAGCCAACTTTTGAATGACAGTAGCGTGTTTGCTAAAGTTGACAGTTGACAGTAAATATGCCAGACTGCGCCGTTTTTGGATGTAAACTGGATCCTGGAGTTTCTTTACACTATGTATATAATTACTATTTAGCTAACACTGGTATGTGTGAGACATGTACCAATATTAACAGGTTGATAGCTACGGTTTTGGCAGTGTTGGTGTTACCAAGACGGAATAAAGCCTGTGTTTTGAGTTAGTTGGCCTCCCTCTTTACTTCTCATCCATTCATTATCTAGACTGCTTATCCTAACGAGGGTCACGGGGGGCTGGAGCCAATCCCAGCTGTCACTGGACAAGTCCCCAGTCTATCACAGGGCCGACATGTAGACAAACAACCACACACCCCCACACTGACTCCTACGGGCAATTTAGAGTCTCCAGTCAATCTAAGCTGCTTGTCTTTGGACTGTGGGAGGAACACGGAGAGAACCCACGCAGGCACAGGGAGAACATGAAAACTCTGCACAGACAGGCCCCCGGTCCACCCGGGCTCAAACCCAGAACCTTCTTGCTGTGAGGTGACAAGGCTAATCACTGCTCCACCATACCACCCTCTTCACTTGTCCCAACCAGAAAAGCCTGGACTTCTAAGGCGAGTAATTGGCTGTGAGCCAGGGCTAAAGCAGTTTAGCTATGAACCGGAGGTCCTCAACTACAGTTTGGGGCCAAAGATCTGAGCAGGTAACACCATATTTGAGGAAGTTCCAGCTAAAAATAAGTTGGATGCTGCAAAAAGTAAAACCAGAATTAAGTGACAGCAACAACTGAGAGAATAAAAGGGACTGAAAAGTGATGCCACCGTGGCCGTATTTCTGCTGGACAGGTAATTATCGGTTCTATTTTGTTTGGGGGCATTTGTTATTTTCCTGAAATCTGTAAGTGTCCAGGCAGCGGGCGACGCAGTGTGTGTTGTGTTTTAGAGGAGTGGCTTTGGAGAGAAGTCAGAACGAAAAGGTGGGATTTCTTCGGTTGTCTACTTTCAAAATCAAGTTTCCTCTTGCTGGTTTTTCCAGGATCGCCAAGCCTACCTTTAAGCAATTTATTGTTGGGTTTTCTACATTTTTCTTAATGGTCTACTTAATAGCTTGGATATAAGATATAATCCTGGCATACTGTGTGTTTCTCATTATTTCTGCTCATTTGTATAGTGGCTGTTGTAACAACAGAATTTCCCTGTGGGGATTAATAATGTACTCCATCTATTGTTTTCAGCTCTTCAATACTTTATGACTAGACCAGTCTAAGAAGTATGAGGTCAGGACAGTCGTACTGAAATGAAGAAGTCAGGATTGCAACTAATAATCAGTTTAGTGATTAATTTATCTGCTGATTATGTTCATATTCTCTATAAAATGTCAGAAAACGGTTAAGAGCACTCACTATAATTTCCAAAAACCCAAAGTAATGGATTCAGATTGTCTGTTTTATTGGACCAAAAGTCCAAAATCCAAAAGCACTGTGTTCATGAGAAGTTTTCACCAGAAAATATTTGAATATTTGCATTAAAAAAAATGACTGAACATTCTCAAAATGGTTACTATTTTCTGTCGATCAATTAAAATATTAACTGACCAACTGTAGCAGCTCTAGAAGTGTGAACATGGAAATTATATTAGAGGAAGTGTAAATGTTGAATGAAGCAATGCTGGAAAATCTCTGTTAGGATTCTGAAAGGAGCTTCCAACTCATTTTCATCAATCTTTGGAAAATATTATCATCATTTTAATTTAAATACTGCCAGGTGCGGTCTTGACATCGCTCAGTATTGAACTATAACGCTTTTAAAGCAGAAAGCTAAAAAAAAATCATTAAATATGAAATGGAAACGGAGGACAGGTAGATATAACAGTATATGTGCGTCATATAGAAAAATAATGCAAAAAAACAAAGAGAAGAAGAAGAAGAAGAGCCTCTATTGCAGACAAACCCGCTATTAAATATGAAATGGAGATGATTTGGATAGACCCAAAATGATTTTTTTTTTACCTTCATGTCGTTCATGATGAGCTGGAAGAGCCCTCCTAAGGCGCTGCATTCCTTCTCTATTCCCGCATCCATTTTTCCACAAGCTCGGAAAAATCCTCCTCAAACTCCCAACAAAAACTTTTCTTCTCCCCCGAAAAAAACTTCCAGCCAAGTTCTGAAACACTCCAACAGAAGATTCAATGGCTTTTATTGAATACAGAGGGGGAGTTAAATCACCCCGAGGGCAAAGTCCACCTTTCAAAAACAGCCGTGGAAAAGCTGAAAACGAATAAAAACGCACAAACAGGAGCAAAATCCAGGTCGAAAGAGCCGAAGCACTAAAGTCAGGCTTCAGTCAGCCGATGCTTCCAGCCGGCCAACTTGGTAAACGTCCGATAAAACACCACATCATGACTGAATCATAAAGCAGGCTGTGTGGAAAATGTCTGGCAGTGTTTTTTAGTTTAGCCCCGGCTGGTTTTAGTCCCGGGTAAAGGGAAACACAGCTAACCGCAGCTAGCTAACTCGGCTAGCAAGGTGAGCGTTAACTCCGCTAAATGAATATGTGTGAGCGTGTTTCCGAACGAAAACACACACAGTGCGTAGGTAAATGGGCACGGCTCTTTTCTGGTGTCCGGTTCGAGACCGACTCCCCAAATCCCTGTTTGCAGAGGTGTATCCGAGTGATTTCACGTTGTTTCCCTGCGAGTTTGGACGAGGAAGCCAACCGTTTTCATCCACTTACTCCAACGGGTGTCCTGACCTGAAGTGAATGAGTTTCTCCGAACACTGTGTCAAGTTAGTCACAGTCACACATCACACATCCGGTTGTGACTTTCAAAATGAAGGCCTTCAATTCACCCATTAAAATCGACAATAGTGTGTGTGGGGTTGGGTAGGACTGGGACCTGCGCCTGCCTCTGCCTCTGGATCCTGTGGGTATACCAAACGGCTGTTCAGGAGTCCACCCGGTGCAGCCCTGCAGCTCTCATATTTGGACACCAGTTAGGCATGAGCTCCAGACACCAGTTGACTTGGTGTTTGGGCTTCTCCCAGAGCTGAAAATGAGAAGCCGAACTTGGACTATTATTACCACCTCTGGAAGCGGCTCAAAGATGGGCAAACAAACTGACTAGGCAGGCCCTCTTTGATGCAGGGTCTCACCAGTAACTGGCCTATGATGTTCATTGCAAGGATAGGACTTTGCCCCTGGTGTGCTGGTGTGGGTGTACTGTCTAGACTCTAGAGCAGTAGACAGGACTGTCCCCTAGGGCAACCAGCCACTAGGTTTGGCCCTGCACGGTGCTGGAGAGACTGACAGATGTGGTGTCCAGGATGAGAATGATATAATGGAGCCATGTAGTGGTGCTGTACAGGGATCAGCCTGCACTGTACCGGCCCCTGGCCCTGCCAGAGGGGGACCCAGACACTGAGAGCCAGCCACAGGCTTCTGACCACTCTCTTCCTGCCAGCCAGGGACCCACAGGGCAGCCTGAGCTCCAGGGCAGGGTGCCTTAGCATTTGAGGGTCTTTACATATTTTATGAAATGTTTAAGAGCAGTTTGCTGCTCACAGTAGTTCAGTTGCCATATTGCTACAAGTGAAAAAACCTAAAAAATAATAATTATTATTAAAGTATTAAATAAAAAATAAACCTACGTCAGTTAAATGAAGCATTTGGGATAGGTGTAGCCTGGACAATCATTTGTATGAATGACAAAATTGTCTATTTCTTAAATCTTTTCTTTGAAACAAAAATAATTTTTGAAGCTTTTATTTTGAATGCCATTTATTTTCCGGTCAGTGCTGAGTTCGTTTCCTTTGATGTTGCTGCGTTTTGTGGATGGAAGGGTTTGTTTTGGGTGGAGGACGCGGCGGCCCGGCGGGGCGGAGCTACAGAGAGCAAAGTAAAAGAAAGTTCAGTGATTTTTACACTGACTTTACAGAGCGTTTGTGCTATAACAAGCGCAGCAGAGCAAAGGTAGACAGTAGTAAAATATTAATATTGGAAGTAAATAGTAGGCAATCATGATACAAATATTTCTAACAGAAGCTAAACAATAATCACTATCAAAAAGGCTATCAAAAGTTAAGTTACAGGATAACAGCCGCAAACACCTGCCTGCAGACAGCTACAGGAAAGCTAACATTTAGCCATAAAGGCAGAACTATTTGCACATGATGTCAAACACTGTTTTCACTATATTCCAGTTATTTTTGCCACAGTTGCCTTGAACTTTGCACAGTCTGTCTGTGATGCATTTCCCCACACTGCTCCTGATTCTGAGCGAAAATAAGTCACAAGCATGCAGGTAAACACTCTGACCAACTAGCTGGGTTATAAACTACAGGAGAAGAAGTGGTTTGTACGATCGTTTTGGAAATCAAAGATGTTTATACCTGATTTGAAGATGTAAGGGTTTATATCATCAAGGCTGGTGTATGAATAATGAACAGCAATATGGCACAATGAAATAGATTATTAGGAGAGGTTATCACTGACAAAAGATGTGCATTAATGAACACTTTACAGTGTATTGTTATTAAAGTAAGTATTTATCTGCAGTTTACGTATGAAAAAGTTCAAATGCTTCCCTTTTTAAATATCCTGTTTTCTCTACATTTCATATGTGGACTTTGCACTGGGACAGTTCTCTTTCTGCCTTAACAAAATCACCAAAAAACAGCAGGAAATCAATCTCACATGGTAATTAATAGTGATAAGATGCAGTTGTAACTGATTCCTGCTTTATCAAACATCCAGGATATTCAATGTTCGGTTCTTATCTGCTGTTTAATTATGTAGCAACCAGATAAACACTGCCCATTCACACTTCCTGTATTTTTCTGATTCACCCGGCAACAAGCTGAGTCACAGTAACGGCAGCCCTCCTGCCAGCCAGTTACCATGGCAACGAGCGCGCGTGTTTGAACGTGTGTGTGTGTGTGTTTTGCTGAATCACAGGACCTCCACCAGCCACCCTCCAAATGTGGTTTCCTTGGAGACCAAAGCATCCAAACAGAATAACATAACATTAATAAAACATTTTTATGTGAATAAAACTGGTCCAGTCAGTGACGTGATGTGTGTTAAATTTTACAGCTGCAACATTATGATGACATAATGATGCACGTTTTCAGTCAACCACAAACTCTTCAAGCTTTTGACGATTGGTAACCAAAAAAAAAGCTATTTGATTATGTTATATTGAGATTCAGGGAGTTATTTGGTGCCTTTTTCACTATTTTCTGCCATTTTAGTCACTGAATAACAGTCAAATTGTTGTTTAGCCTAATGATAAATAATTAGGTGAGAGCTGAGACCTAGACACAGGCAGGAATAACATTTTCTGATTTCACTTTGTTGTCAGGCTGATTTCTCTGTACTGTCACAGTAGTACTCAACCAGGGAGACTGTGTGCGCACATAACGATGACATTAACTACAACGAACTTTAACACATTGGAGTCGCAGCCATTTGATAAACCTATACATTTAATTGTGGACTTTTTTTAAGAGTCATCTGTGACTTTTCTTCTGAATGCTTTTGTGTGTGTTCATGTGCCTCATCTGTGTTTGTTCTCCTGTACTCTAAAAGAGCTGTTGGTCTGAACAGGTTTAAAAACAGCTAACAATAAGCAGAAACTGAGGGAACTGAGTCACACAGGTGATTTTTGTGTTCATATATTAATACGCAAGCTGTGAATGTTGATTTGTTGCCTGGGGAACCTCAATAACTTCTTCTTGAGGCATTAAACTCTGATTTTAGGAGTCATTTGTACTTACATTTGAACAGCTTTTGTACGTTTTATTACATAGTTTTACACTCTTGTCCATATTATTGTACTACAGTAGTCTGCTGGTGATGAGCGGTGTGACACGTGTAGTAAACGTGCCTACCGGGCACCCAAAGGATCAGTGGGACCCCTGGACCAGAGCGTCTGTTTAAAGTAACTTAGCGTTTCTTGTTGAAATGTCAATCAGTAAGAAACAGACACAAAACAGCCAAAAGGGATGTAAAATGAGCACAAGGCCATGCAAAACAACCTGAAAGATAAAAACAAGTAAAACAAACAAAAATAGCCACAAAGAGGCTCAAAGTGCCTAAAAAGAAAAAAGCAAAATAACTAAAACAGAAAAAATGATTTAAATGAGACACAAAATATCTACAAAAACACAATACAGCAAAAATATAGGCTCAAAACATCCACAGAGATGCAAAAATAACACCAGACACAAAGCTGGGGGTCGGGGTCATGGGGTGACACGGCGTGTTTTACCTCCATGATAAAGAACGAGAAAATGTTTCAGGTGTTGAGTCTGTATGAGTTTCAGAAACACTGTTAGATCAGCATTAGTTTAATTCTTCAGAAAATAAAGACCAACTTCTATGAACTGTTAAAGACCCAGACAAAGTCAAAAACAGCAGCTGTTTCCATTGTACCAACAGTGACACCTGCCTGAACTGGAATGGGAGGAAAAGATGGCTTTTAATATCCTGATTTAAGATTAGGTTTTTCTAATTCATTCTTATCTTTTACTGACAAACTATATTTGAATATCAGTAAAATGTAATGATCTTATCAGTTTTCAGCAGGGGATTTCAACTAACTGATGCAGCAGGGACCACGGCTATGGGGTGGATAGACTGGATGGGCACTGTTTTAATCATGAAAGGTGCTTTATCTTTACTAAAATGTATATATTTGAATGAATTTGATTATTCACAAATAATAATACACAGAAATGTTTAAAAAATAAAATTCTTCCTAGAGTGAAACTACATTATTGAATGCATGGTCCACTTTCAATGCCTTTGTGGCCCACTGGTTGAAAACCCCTGTGTTGATTAATAAGGCACAAAAGTATAATATTCATCTTCTCGATTTCACTGTTATACATTTCCTACATCAAATTTTAATCTGAAGGTCTGGATCAGGGGTCTCATCTGTTGTAATGATTCTTCTTATCCAGAAACATTTTCCTGTTTTGATTAGGGTACGGTTTATTTTGGTATGACCAGTCTAACACGATATTACCGACTGCTTTCTATTGTTTCTCCCTCCACATCTGTGTTACACCACCTTCATCATCACATTCTCTTCTGACAAACCACTGGTAAAATTGTCAGCGGGAGTTCATGCCCCGTGATAATGACTGGAAACATCCTCTCAGTGAAAGTGTGTGTGAAGGTCTTTATGTGTGTGTTAGCATCAGGATCAAAGAATGACAGCTTTCCTCCAATCCAGTCCAGATGAACTCTGATCCTCTTGATCTTAGTCACCGGACATGGAATAGAGGACTCTAGTGGGGACACTATTATATATTCACCTTGGTCAAACACTACTGCCCATATACTAGAAGTTATGTCTGTGTGTCCCTTTCTTTGAAAAGACTCTGGTGCCACGCCCACTGACCAGGAGGGATTGCCTCCAACCTCAACGTCCCAGCTGTGAGTCCCTGAGTTAAAGGCTTCAGAGCCCAGAACAACGCAATGACTGTCAAACCTGTCTGGGATTTCAGGAACCACCTTTTTCTCCCCGAGTCTGATCACACTGGTCAGATCATCAGACAGCAGAAGTTCTGGATGAGCAGTGTTTGGATCCAGAATCACACGAGTGTAGGAGACCACCTCCTTCATCTTGTTCCAGATGTTGAAGGCCAGGTTGCCCAGGTGTTTGGCTACATCTATGAGAACTCCTGAGACCAGCTGTGGATCCTCCAGCAGGGGATGATCCTGGACTCTTTTTACTGTAGCACTGTAGTTCTGCAGGAATGAGACGTCTTCAGCTCTCAGCTCCTTCTCTGTGGCTCTGATTGTGTCAGTAAGAGCTGCTATCTCTCTGCTCAGAGCCTCAGTCTTCCTGTTCATTATCTGACACTTAAGCTCCTCTTCCTCCCTCACAGCTTTGATCCTGGCCTCCTCTTCCTCTTGTAGAAACTGGTGAAGCTTCTTAAACTGCTCCTTAATCAGCCTCTCTGTGTCTTGGGCCTGGGCCTTAATGTGTCTTACTGTTTGATCCCAGTTTCTTTGGCCTTGCTCAAAGAGCTTCAGTTTCTCCTGTAAGGGCTTCAGAGATATCTGTAGCTCCCCTCTGAGGTCCTGTGCAGCTTTGTTGATGGATCTGAATCTGTGGTCACTATGTGTTTTTGATTCCCTACAGATGAAACACACTGGCTGCTGATGGTCCAGGCAGAAGAGTTTGAATTTCTCAGAGTGCAGACTGCAGAGATCCTCAGACCCTTCTGAAACTCTCTCCAGTAAAAATGCCTCACATATGTGCTTTAAAGCCAAGTTACGAGGTGGGTTGTTACTTCCAGACACAGTCATACACAGTGGACACAACCGTGTTGGTTTTTGTCTCCACCATCTCTGTACACAAGAATTACAAAAGCTGTGGCTACATGTCAGAAGAACAGGATCTTTAAAGATGTCATGGCAGACTGGACAAGTGAGGTTGTCCTCTGATCCAGATGCCATCTGAAGCTGAAAATGAACAAACAAAGTCAGTAAAGGCATCAGATTACAGAATACATGTGTCATAGATCTGCCTTTTGAATTGGCAGTAGGAGTTTGTCCTCAGGGATACGTGGGTCCATTGTTCTATTGTTCTATAGTCTATGAAGGATATTCTGCTGCAAAGATGGAAGAAAACAAAAACCTGGTGATGTTACCCATCCATCCAAAGCTATAAAAGTTGTACTCATTGTGTTCCCAGCAATCCAGTAATATTGATTTAGCAGGATGGGCACTATCATGACCCTGCAGGCTAGCCCAGTAGTGCAACATAAATTTCAGTCTTCTTAATCTTAAAGTAGATTCCCAAGCTAAACCTGCAAAGCAGAGACTGGGGATGTCTTAAACGCTCCACTACATATTCGAAAAGCTTGAGCCTGTTCAATGTCCAGCAGTTTAAGATTGGACAGTCATAATCTATAACAGATCTTATTAATACTCTGTATATTCCTATTAAAGCACTTCTACTCGCTCCCCACTGCCGTCCTGAAAGACATTTAAGGAGATTATTGATCTTCTTGCATTTATCTCTTATACTAGAAATATAAGCCTTCCATGTCAGCTTTTCATCAAATACTACTCCCAGGAATCAAACTTCTTTCACTTGAACCAGATTGTGTCCATATAATCTGAGTGTAGTTGGTCTATGCCTGCTAGAGAAGCAGACAACTTGAGACTTACTAACTGATAATTTGAATCCCCATTTTTTAGTCCACTGTCCTACCCTATCTATAGCAGTTTGCATTTTCTTTTCAATATAACTATGATTACGGCCTCTAGCCCAGAGAGAACCATCAACCGTATATAAAGATTCCCCCACTTCTTGTCCAACATTCACAAAGACATCATTGATCATTATATTAAATAATATAGGACTACACACACACTACCTTGAGGTGTACCGTTGTCAACTGTATAAATATCTGAAAATTCTAAACCCACTTTGACCTGTATTATTTGATTACATAAGAAGTTCTTCACCAGGTTAACCATCTTTCCTCCCACTCCCAAAAGTTTCGTTTTTACCAAAAGACCCTTTCCAGAGCATGTCATATGCTTTCTCAACATCAAAAAAGACTGCAAGCACACTTTCTTTATTAGTTTGTGCTTTCCTAATGTCAGATTCTAAACATAAAATTGAATCCATAGTACTCCTGCCATTTCTGAAACCATTTTGATATGATGCAATCAAACCTTTTGTTTCAAGAAAATACACCAGTCTAGTAGTTATCATACATTCCATAATCTTACCTAATTGGGAGCTGAGTACAATAGGCCTATAACTTTTAGGATCAGAAGCGCCGTTCAACAATAGTTCCGTACTTCACTTTTACTGCAGCGTTCATTTTTACTTGTAGAACTCCAGTTACGAGCGATTAACAAACTGCAGCTTTTCGGCTTCCGTCGTCGATCGCCTGACTAATTCGTTGCGTCTCCGGTGTCAATTGTGTTTCTCTAGGTGGTTGAAATGTGCTTCAGTTTGTAGAGATACATTACAGCTGTCAAAGGTTCCATCAAAAAGTTGGAGGAGCGACGGCTACTAGTTATCATGAATGACAAATAGTTTTGTCGCCCTGGACTCCGCTAAGCTTTACCGGAAGTCTCGGACGCGCATGTCTGCTCGACCACAGAATAACCCTACTGCGCATGCTCTAGGGGTTCAAAACCACCGGATGGATGTTTTTCCTTTACATATATATGTATAAAACATGGCTACAGCATCCATAAATAAATATAATAGTATTAGAAAGATGTAATTACAGTAGGTAAAGTTGCTTTACACTTAAAGTTTATTTTCCACTTAAAATAAAAAAATACTCGTTGTATTAGACTATAACTCATTACACATGGGAATCAGTTCACAAATCAAATGACTAACGGGGCAGCAACAAATAGGCCTAATTAAACAATACAAAGTTTGTGTGTGCACATGTGTGACACGTCTGCTTGACATGGTTTCAGTATTGACTGGTGTAAGATATGTATCCTTTAAAAGCAGAATGCTTCTTAAATTAATTTACAAAGGAACTTAATAAGAATTCCTGGTCTTTCCATGTACATGAACCAGTGTCATATTTATTCTTAATGTTATTAATAATGCAAACATATTAGTTTTTAAAATGTTTTCTTCTCTGTAGGCTATAAACAGGATCTGGAGTGAGTCAAAGTTAATGGGTCGCAGCAAGTTCAGATCATGTTTGTAATAACACACTGGTCACTGTAGACAGTTTTTAACAGCAGAGATTACAACTAGGAAACTGAAATAAATGACAGGAGTGGTGAGTTTTATGGGTATGGACAAATCCATGATAATTAAGTATCCTCTGTGGTTTTAAGATGCTAAAAATAAGTTGTTTGTTATTTTAGTTCAAATCCTAAAGGTTCTGCCTCTAATGACCAGTGCTGTATTGTCTGGCAATTTGTCCGGGAATATGGAAAGAAATCCCAAAGAATGTGTTCTATTTTGTCACAAAGACTGATGAAAGAAATGCCGAAAGGGAAACTGCACTGAGTTATTGAAGCTAATGGCCAGACACAATGTCATGACTTCAGCTCTCTAACTCTTATGATGGGAGACATTTGAAGTCAGTGATTTCCTTCATGAACAAAGAAAAGTGAAACACATTTGTCACAGGGCATCGTTTTATCTCAGTTGCACTCTGACGATGATGATGATGGCACAAAGAATCATGGGTGCCAGCCTGCCCTCCATGGAGGACCTGTACGCCTCACTGGTCAAAAGGTGGACAGAGAAGATTTCTGCAGATGCCAAACAGTTTGAACTCCTCCCCTTGATGCTGCATCTGTACATTTGTTTGTGCTATATGATCATGATGATGATGATGATGATGATAACGGCGAGTATTTTCGGGGCTAGTACACTGGAAGAGATTCATCACCATCACCACCATCATTAATATCATTATCATCAGTGACCAACTGCCAGTATTTTCAGTGGGAATGTATCCCTAGAACTAAAGAGTGGAAACAGCTTCTCAGTGAAAGTGTGCGTGAAGGTGTGTATGTGTGTGTTAGTATCAGGATCAGAGAAGGACAACATTCCATTGTCCCAGTCCAGATTCACTCTGATCCTATGGAGCTTCTTCACTGAGGTCGAAGTGGGAGGATCTGGTGGGGGGTGTGCTGTGAATTTACTATCATAAAAGTATATTCTCCATAATTTAGCCACTGAACCAATTACTCCCTTCCTCTCAGCAGATTCTACTACTACACCCGCAGACCAGATTTGACTGTGTCCAACCTCAACATCCCAGCTGTGAGTTCCTGAGTCAAAGCCCTCAGAGCCTAGGACAATGTGATGAGTGTCAAACCTTTCTAGGTTTTCAGGAAGCTTCTGTCTCTGTCCACGTCTCACACTGGTCAGATCTTCAGACAGGATGAGTTGTGGATGAGCAGTGTTTGGATCCAGAATCACAGGA